TTCTATGCAATGAGATATCATATCTCTAAGCCTCCTTTTCACTTATTAGATTTCGTTGTACTGTGTCTCTGAGACACTTAGTTTGACCACTAGTATTGCACTAATGTTTTTTAACCATCTATTCTGTATGCTTATGTCTTGTCAGTCTTGAAATACCCAGGACTCAACTCTTTCATTCACCTACTGTGGAAACCCCAAGGGTAAAGTGACCCAGTGATCAGGTGGTGCTGTGAAAGTATAATAACTTAACAGCCTGCTTATTTCACTTAGCAACGATCAGGGAGATCTTTTGTGGTTTAAATATTTTCTAGAAAATGATTTCAATAGATAACATAGTATTTCACTGAAATGATGGTGGTTAATCAAGTCCATATTGGTGGGCCCCGAGTTTGCATAAACAATGCTGCAGTGAAAATAACTTCTTTGTATTTACACAAAGGACCAGTACTTATACGTAGAATTAGACTGCCAAAGTGTATCTATGATTTAAATGTTTTTGATACAGGTCAAATTGCCACCCAGGAAGATTTTAATCATATTTTACATTACTTTCACAATGTGTTATATAAATGCCTATTTTTGTGAACTTGTAGTAATACTAAGTACTCATTCTTTTTGCAGTTTTATTGATGGATGAATAATATTTTAACATTTATTTATATTTTAGGTAAAATGAATGTTGCATACGTTCAGTGTTTTATAGGGATTATGACCATTTTTTCCCAGGTTTCTACACTGTTTGTGCCCATTGCTTGTACAACATGCCTTTCAGACCAGAAACACAGCTGCATGTTGATCTTTATCTTTTGTGAGTGAAATCACTGTATTTCAGTCTTTTGTCTCCGTCAGCCCTTTAATTTCAGCTAATTTAGTGACCTCTTCTCTCAGTGGTTCCCAGGTTTCCCACAATTTCCCAGGTTTGACTTGGCTAGAAATTTCAGCTTTCAGGGAACTCCTTATGGAGTTCATTTTGTTAGAGAGGCTTATGGAACTTTAAAAAAGTGATTTTCTTACTATTGCCAGTTTATTACAGAGATATTTTAAAGACCACAAACGAAGTACCTGATGAAGAAATGCAGAGTTATATCACCCTCGGACACACACATGCACTCTTATTCAACAACACAGAAGCTCCCAGAATCCTGTATTTCAGGATTTTTTATTGAGGCGTCATCCTATATACAAAATGTATTATTAATTCAAACTTGAGCCCCTCTCCCCTTCCTGAAGGATAAGGTTGTAGATGGATGGGGTCAGAAAGCTCCAAACTGTAAATCATGACCCTCACCCAGAAACACATAGAGTGGCTTTATTAGATTAAAAGATACTGCACTCGGAAATTTCAAGAGTCTCTTTGTTGGGAATCAGTATTTAAAGGCTAAATATCAGAACAAAAGATTCTCCTAAAACCTCTGTTGCTCAGAAAATTGTAAGGAATATAGGAGCACTTTACCAGGAAATGGGCATAAAGATGTATAACATATATATTCCTTTGAATCACAATACTGTATAATTCGTAAATTTAAATATATAAATGCCTCTGTGTGTGTCTATATAAAAACATAATTCAATGCAAAAGTCTTGGTGTTTTTCTGGTGTCATTTTGTATTTATACCATTTCTGAGCTACATTAGGATGACACTTAGAGGGTGGTGGATGTTGTTATGTGTAATTTGGCACTAAAAAAAGCACACAAATTTGAATATAGTTTACATTTTAAAAATTAAGTAATTCAAGCTGAAGCCATCATCATCTGAGTTCTCACATTAATATTCCCTTTTGCCCTTTTATGTTTTTATTTTTAAATTATTTTATTTTATCCCATTTCCCACCTAAGTTCCCTCCTCTCCCTATGAACAAAGTGAAAATAGAAGGAAAAAATGGAAACAATGCCTTGTCCCTTTTTAATGGGGAGTCCAGGAACGACCGTGGGAATTTACATGTGTCTGTGTATGTATAAAAATATCTGTGTGTCTTTAATATTTGTATATTTTGTAGCAGAAAAAAGTATTGATCAACTGTTGAGAGAGATGCCACTTGCTCTGTGCATCCACTCAACTGAGCTCCTGGCTCTGAGCTGTAAGTAGTATGCAGCACTGATTTAATAGGAAAACAAATAAAATTAGCCAGAAATTGATCCCACACTCTAGGATAGGCTGTATAACCTTTAATGGATATTTATCCTATGTTTTATGACTGCCAGTCAGAAAGGGTCTGTTTAGAGGGAGATCTTTTGCAAATGAGAATGGGAACAGGAATGCAAAGAAGGGGAAGTAAAAAGAATGAAAATATGGTACATGCCTGTACTGACTCCCCACAATAAATGTAATCATTATTTCCTGGAAACATGTACTTATAAAATTTGAAAAATTAAAAAATATGAAAAGCCCTGTTTAGTTCTAGTTCTGATTAGGGTAGGGTTTTTGTTTTCCTTTTTGTTTTCTAGTAGGTTTAAACACTATTGTCTTTGGTATATGCTTTTATTACTCAGCACATTTCCTTGTTCGTATTTTCTGAACTACAACATGTGTCCAAAAAATCCCAACCAGCATATGAGATGTATATTGTGCATGTTTTGTCCAGCTTGAGGAGCTTCTGCAAGCAATGACTATTGATGTAATGTTCTTTTGAAGAAAACACTGACTTAATTTCACAGACAAGAAAATGCTGATGAACATCTTTTCCTTCATTTTCTTAACCACCATCTTCCTAAACAGTAATAGTTGAAACAGTGAATTTCACTCATCATATTGCCTCCCAACGTCCATGACCCAGAAATATGTATGCTTAGTTGGTTTATACATCTATCTGACTGATTCTTAATTTTTTATACTCTCTTGAGGATCTTCTTTTCCTCCTTAATATTTGGCAGTTGACTAAATTGTCTAAGTAGAAAGCAGGACCTTTGTGTGACGATAGGTTATTTTTTCCCAGAAAGAATTTCTGTGTGTTCATTTCACATCTTGGAGATTTGGGACTCATTTTCTTTGATGACCTGGTCCACTGAGGAACAAGACACCGCTGTCTTTTGAGTACTAACGCATTTTTTTTAAAACTTCATATTATTGTTTGGCCAATGAACTACACATAAAAATTTTACTACCACATTTACTATGACATTGATAAATGAGCCAGACTTCTTTTTTGTCCTTAAAACCTGAAGTAGAAGAAATCCAAAGCCCTTTTTAATCTTTGCATATAACATTTTTTACATATTCTGTACCAAATGATAGCTTCATTTTTCATCTTTTATTTATTATCCTCTTCTACTCATTCTTTGTATATAGTTTTCCAGTGATGGTATAAAGACTAACAGTATGTTTTTGAGGTTATGTATATAATAAAACTTATTCTTTGTTTTTCTTGACTCTTCATTGTATTATATACCATTACTTATGTATGAGAGGTAATAGTTAACACTCTTACAAATGTGTAACCACTGTAGATGTATCAGGTTAGATAAACAAATATCCCTACAAAATAGCTTTTATCTTTTTAAAATTAGTAACTTAAAGCAGTTTGGGGTTTATGAAAAAAAACAGCAGAAAGTACAGAATTACCATGTACCGCCTCACTTTTCTGCCACCCTATAAATAGTCCCCCCTCTTATGAACAACGTGCATTAGTGTTTTACATGTGTTACGGTTGGCGAATCAATTAAAGTCCGTAGTTTATATCATGACTCACTCATAGTGTTGTACATTCTGTGGTTTTAGACAAATGTTTAATGAAATGTAGACATCATTATGGTATCATGCAGGATAGTTTCACTGCCCTAAAAGTCCCCTATGTTCCACCTATCTTCTTTTTTGTCATAAAGAAAATTACAGCTAAGAGGTGAGAAAATTTCCCATGAGTCGCAAGCTTAAGCAAGTGTGGGAACTGCTCTGCCTGTCTAGGATTTGTGCTCCTAGTATACATTAGACTGCCCTATTCTCTATAGCTCTTGAATTATTTGGGGAATGCTCACTTGATCAGATTCTTGTTAACTCTTACTAAATTTTATGAAAGAGTATGGATAGGAAACACTTTGTGCTTTCTTTTCTCCTTTGAAGTTAAAATATGGGAAATGTTGCAGGCAATTTAAATTACTGGGTATTTGAGGAAGCTTGTAAGTTAAAGACTAATTGAAGGGAGAATTAAATGAAAGAAATACAAATGCCTCTTATCTGGTCATTTGATTATCACTGATTATTGGGGGCAGAGGCTGTATACAAGTCCATACCAGTTAGGACAACAAGTCAATAAAGACTGTACTAACAGAGTAAATTATTTTTTAATAATTGAACGAAAAACAAAGGAGTGTGGAGAAATGAGTCCAAGTTGCATAGAATGTACCATATTACATTAATAATACAACTTTAACTTTAAAAAAGAAAGGATTGCCATAAGATTGGTTGTAAAAACATGTAAGAAAGAAATAAACATTGCCTGAAGTTTATGAAGTAGAGCGTATATAAATTAGAAGGAATAAGCAGATGAGGTCATTTTGTTTTGCCATGGGCTGTGGTTTCTGGTTACCACCAGTACCTTCCTACCAGAGTTTCATTCCAGCCATGCAAGACAAGAAAGGGTGATCAGCGGAAAAGTCATGTCAAAAGATGAAATGACTATTTTTTTATACAAAAAAAGAATGAAGAAAAAACAAATTGAAGGGAGAAAATAAAATACAAAATGACAATGGTTTGCCCTCTTTAAAGCTATCTGATTCTTTTATTTTCTGAGAAACTACTTTTTAAACCTTTCTCTTCCTTCACTATTGCTTTTAAAATCTCTTTGTTGAGCTTTCATCTTCCATTCTTTTTTGGATGTTTCCCAAGATTCTGACCAGGGTCTTTGCTCTCAACGTAGTCTCCTCGATCATCCTCTTTTAGATAGAAACAAAACACATTTTTCTAATGATGGTTATCTACAGACATTACTCTTTCATTTGTTCCCAGGAGGTAAAGAATTCTTCATGATCTTTTGCTGAATCATCCATTTTCTTTGTTTTTTTTAAGGGTCGTAAGAGTGAGGCTGAAAAGTTCTTCTTGAAGGCCATTGAGTTGGATCCCACCAAAGGAAACTGTTACATGCACTATGGTGAGTGGTGCCTCATATTTGTTAATGTTCATATGAGACCATTTTGCTGGTAAAGGACATTTTGAGAGGCACGTGACTTTGTTGTTGCAGGTTTAGCCTCATGCTACATTCTTATCTTTCCAGTCTCACGAGTCACATTGAAGAGCTTTGCATTGTATTTTTTTCTTTTCAGTAATTTTCATAGGAATTCAGTGGGGAAGGCAGTTTCACTGTTCTTTCAAGTTCAGTGTGGAGTTTAAACAAGATTTCATCAGGAAAACATCTAGCTCCTTGCCCGATGCGCGGTTAGCTTTCTTTTCATTCTAAATGATAATGTATTGCTCATTGAGCATGCCTTTTAGAAGTTTGAGAAGTTTACATTCTGGCTTGAAAGTCTTGCTTTCTGGAAAATTTAGATGTGTACTAGCCTTATAAATGCTTAGGAGTGACTCAAGGATAACCTGTAATTGATGTAAACAATGATTGTCTCATTCTGTTTAGCCTTAGCCCGAGTGAGTCCAGAGTGAGCTTATATAACAACTCTGTCATACCCCACTCTGTCATTAGCAGTGAGTCATGTATTTAGTAAAGCCAAGTAGACAGCTAGTTTGGTGTTTGGTAGGGTGTGCTTATTTCTACCAGATCTGCCCCTGGAATGGCTTTCAAGGAGGCAGCATTTACTTTTCCAGTGTCTTAAAAAAACAACAAAACAAAACAAAACAAAACCCACTTTTGTTTTTATCACTGCTGGCTTTGATGTGTTATTATCATGTAGTAAATTTAAAAGTCGATGGAAATTAAATCTAAAGGAAAGAGAGCTAATATGCTTATATAATATTTAATTCCTTCTCCCAGTTTCCAGCTAGTAAAAATAAATCAGTGACAGGCTGCAGGTGTAGAAGAGTGGAAATAATAAAATGGAGGAAACACTTAACCAACCACAAGTGCATTTTAAAATTTACATTATTGTTTATATATGTCTATAAAACTGGGATTGTGATGCTTTATCTTTGCAGCACAGTGCAGGATGCAATTTCACATAATGTATGACATGAGAACTCCAGACTTTGTTTCACAATGCAGTTTTATTGCTGCATTAAGATAGCAGTCAACTAATTTAAGTTTGCTGAAGAATTTTACTTTTAATTTTACAGGTTTTCCCTATGAAGTATTTTAAATTAGAATTTTTTTCATGCCTATTGGGTATCCCTACCATGCATGAAAGTAGTTCCATGATTATTTTCCTGGAGTGCTAACGGACTGTTTGCTGTTACATTTTAGGAAATAGTATTTAATTCTGTCTTTCTCCCAGTGTTTCTTTTGCTCCAAACTAATTTTATTTATTGTATTTTAAGCTTATTTCTAACAATATTATTATATAAAATACAGCTATTTTCACAATTAATATTTTTAAACTATTCATGTTTGAACTGTACTTGTTAAAAAATTGTCATTAAGATTTACTGCTGTAGGGCCGCGTATTTAGCTCAGTGGTTTGGTGCCCTGCCTTGCAAGCGCAAGGACCCGAGTTCAATCCCCGGTACCAATAAAAAAAAAAAAAAAAAAGATTTACTGCTGTTACTCTACCTTGCCCATCTTTACCTACTTCTGTAAACTATTATTATTTTCATGGTAAATCATGTTCTTGAATTTTTTTTCCAGTGCTAATAGGAGGTGGTATTTTTCCCATGAAAATTTTTAGTTAAACAGGAAATACAAGAAATTTATAGGAAATTTAGTTAAACATGGAATACAAGAAAAAAATTTTCATTTTACATGTTACTTGGAAAATAGTGATAACACATCTCTAAATGCATGTGTAAAAATTGATTCTCCTTAGTACCCTTGAATTGTTCAAATTTTTTTTTGGCATATGTTTATAAATTTATTTATTTTCTCAGGCAAAAAATTACCTCATAATTCAATCTAATATTTTGAAATATAATTTTATGAAATTTTATAATGTTCAGTATTTTTACTGTTTTGGAATCATAAATGGAAGACTCAAAATGAGACATTTGAAAGGAGGCAAAATAGAGTCAAATCATCTACAAACAGGAAGCCAATAACTGAGTGCTTGGCATTTTTCACTTACTTTGCTCAAGTTATAAAACAATATATACTTAAAAATTTTAGATTATTTCTATTTGGGAGAATCTATTTCAAGTAAAAATTTTAAATCGGTATAAGCACTCTGATATACAAACATTAGATTGAAGCAAGGCTAGGGAAATGAAAATGATTTGAACAACTTAATGTAGGTAAACAAATGTTGGCTCCTTTAACTACTAATTGTCTTTGCTTTTTCTTCTATAGTATATGTTCTGTTTTGTTTCACAATATTGGCAGACAGGCAGACAAATAGACATTTTGATCAGTAATTCCTCATCGAGAACAGTATTAGTTTCATGACTTAGCTAAATTTTTTTAAGTAACGGTTTTGTTATCAGTCAGCTTCTGGCTGCTAGAAAAAAAATACCTGATATATCCAATTTAAAGGAAAGATTGATTTGGACTCAGGGTTTCAGAGATTTCAGTCTGTGTTCAGCTGACTTTAAGGAGGAGGAAGGGCATAGGCGAAATGTGCCTTTTCATGGTAGCTGGTAAGCAGGCAAGGAGGAGGGAGGAAAGCAGAGAGACAGAGGGAGGGGAGAGCCAGAGAGAAGAGGGAGAGAAGGGGGCCTCAGAAGAGAGACAGGGGCCAGGAACTGGAATGCACTCTTCCAGCCTAGTCCCCCGATGACCCACCTCCCTCCACAAGGCCCCACCTCCTAACAGCACATACCGCTATGAATTCATCAGTAGACTAATTCACTAATGAGTTTAGCACCCTTTAATCCAATCCACCTTCCAGAAGCCCTGCCTCTGAACAAGTGAGATTTGGGGAGAACAGTTTAGATCTAAACCATAACAGATTTTTTTTAATACTTATAAGATGTGTCCACTAAGTTCAAGGTAATATTTATAAGATGGGTCCCCTGACTTTCTCAGGAAGTTAGCAGTGCTCTGTAGGAAATAAACAGGATGATGTCATCTTTGGAAGGTAGTGTGGAAAGTGAAACACTTCTTGAGACAAAAGTAGTCAAGTAAAATATCTCTGAGTGTGTGATATTTGAAATCACTGAGCTTAAAGCAACTGTTTGAAGAGCCAGGCTCAGATGAAAGAAGTAGAAATACAAGGGTCTGTTCAGGCAGACAAGTAAGACTCATGTGACTGGGTCACACTGAGCCACATGGGAAAGTGGGAATAGATGAGGCTGTAAAAGAAGCACAAGTAAAGCCCACAGTGCTTTGCAGACCAGGCTGCACAGTTTGCATTTTACTATAATAGTAATGGGACCATGTGGCGAAGACAAGATTATAAAAAGGTCAGAAAAGACCAAGGGAAACTCTTCAGAGAGCTGTTGCTATGATTTAGAGAGATAATGGAGGCTTTGGCTTGGGAGTAGGTGTGGGAAGTAAATATTTATATTGAAATTACACATTTACCTCCTTGAGAAGATTCTAAATTTAAGAATTGGGAGGAGCTGTTTTCCATTTTTGTGTCATCAGTGCCTTGAATATTGCATTACAGTAATGTGCAATAAATGTTTATTGCACTCAGGAATATTCTCCATTCTTGAACTGGATCTGATATATGAAATTTAGTGAAAGAATGTTCCATTTGAATTTTTATTGTTTCTTGCCCAAGAAAATACATACAATGTTTCTCCCATCAGTTCGTTGCCAATTTACTGGCTATATATATATATATATATACATACATATTCTTAGGCTGTTTATACCCACAGATTGAATGAATAAAAACACTTCCTCAGCTTAAAAATAAATGTTTAAATGAAATATATGTGTTTTGAGTCTTTTTAAAATTCTTTCCCAAATGCCAAGGAAAATGCCAGAGTGAGTGAATTTTGTTTTATGGGAAATTTGTTCTCTTGGGTGATTATGTACTTTTAGTTTGCTTGTTAATAGTACAAGTGACTTGGAAAATACTACTCATTTGGGCCAAGACAGAGGGAATTATAGGAATTTATATTGGGAGCAGTGGTAATTAGAAGATGATATTTAAAATGCTATCAGTTACTTGTACTTTGAATCCACTGGATTTTCATCTGAGAAAAGAATTTCATCAAGAATGCCTTTTTACTTTCCTTTGGGTTGGTTGAAAGATTGGCTCCACGAGTCAGTTAAATGTTAGCCTCTGAGGTCTCCAGGGTCTCAGGAGGAGAAATAGAGTCTCTGGATTTCAGATTATTTGTCTTTAAGTTCAGAAGTTTGATGTGAGCTTCCAAAATGTTTTCCAGTTTCATGTTTTATGTTATCTCAATGTTTACTCTTCTTCTATCAAAAATTTTTGGGAATGTGTAGAAAATAGTTTTCAGATAATACTGTCAATAATAGTATGAGATATTCATAAGCTTTCAAGCTTACAGTGTGCTCCTGTGACCATATGACACCAGGCATATAAGTCCTAATGGAATTCGGTTTCTAAATCTTAACGTGAGGATCTGATATCTTGTTGTCTTATGTGGGCTTTTGATTCAAGGTGTTCTCTTTGGATCAACCCATCTCTAATAAGAAAGGAAGCTTCTGCCATGAGAATTGAGGTCAGAACAGGTTGCTTCTTTTTAAAAATGCTAGAAACAACATTTAATCAAATAGGATATATTATAATCTGTAGGTAGGTACATAGCAGTAAGTTTAGTGTAGATTGAAACAATTTAATAAGAAATATGTATTACCTGGTACTATATATACTTCCTGGAGAAGGGAACTTTATTCCATATTAAGAAATATATAATATTGGATAAAGAGAAGAAATATTCTTTCATGCAGAACTTGAAGAGTTTCTTTTTCTCCCAGCTACCTCTCAACTAAGATTAAAATTTGTAACCCCATTTCCTTCTTGGGTGACATGCTCTGGGACATGTTCCTCAATTCCACGTGCTGCACCATGTCGTGCTGAGCCCTAAGTGTCATTCTTCCTCCAACTCCATGTGTATGGAGCATCATACCAAACG